AAAAAAAAAAATTAGAAATCGCTGAAATCATGAAAGAAAAAAAGATAAATTATTTATTATTATCCATATTTAGCAAGGAAAACTTTGGTACATTTAAAATTAAAATACACCCATTATACACGCAGTGGAAAAAAAAATCCATATAATTGACCATCACTTTCTCTGTTCGTACAGCAACAGTATTTCCAGGGGCTCCGTACACTCTGTGCGCTGCTTCGAAATTAATAAATGCCAAAAAGCCTGACCTATTTGTGTAAAAAGTAAAAGCAACAGCCGCAACAGAGGCGGGTCTGAAAGAAAGTGCAACCAGAAAGATTTTCATAATCACGTAGTAGAATACCCAGCTAACATCTAATACCCATTATCGCTATTGTTTTTCTTCGGGGAACACATTATTCTGTGCTACCGCAGCTGCGCACACAAGCACGTTACATACGTGTGCTCACCCACGGACATGTGAGGAGCGTGTACTAGCGAGCAAACAGACAAAGTGGGTTGGGTTTCTGGCGAACCTACGTGGCTCGATGCGGAACTTGAAACTTGCAAAGCTCTACTTTATCTTTCTTCACACCTTTCCACACAATAGTGATGTCTTTCTATTTTTATTTCAACGCTAACGTGTGTTTGCTAGCCGTGTACTACAACCATTGCCGCATTTTACCAGCTGTGTCTACACATACAGAGAATTAACATTCTGCCCAGGCCAAATCGAGCGTATTATTAGACGTTATCTATTTTGAGGCTGCTAAGATCAAACAACTCACCACTATCTTATTTTTTATTAATTAATGTAAGGTATTAATTAAGTGGATTTGCCTGTAACAACAGTTGATTTTTAATTACCATTCACTTTCAAACAAAAACTCGATATAATTAATTTTTTTAACATTCTTTCTCTATAGGTACGTCAAATAAGTATACTCTTAATCACTTTTTCGCGCACCAGTGTATTATACTAAAAAAAAAACATACATTTTATACTTGTTCCAATAGTTGACGTGTAACACATACATATATTTTTTAAACTCAACTAATCATTAAAATAAATTTTGAAGACCAACTAATTACTCGGCTGATCATTCAGAGGGTATAAAATGAATAATTTCAAATGAAAATCAAACCAATTAAAATTTTTTTATACATTTCTAATACTGTATTTACGTATGACAGGAACCATGGGATTCCCTACCTAATGGACATAAATGAATCCATCAGAATACGTAAGGAATAAGGAGTTATTATTGTATGTTAATTACTTGTCCATCAACATTTTCTAATTATCAGAATGCATGTAATTACAATCCATGTTGAACGTGAAAATTATCTAATGCAAAAAAGGTAAGAAAAAAAAAATCTGAAAAACGATAGTCGAAATCTGTAAATATTCTGGCACCAAATGATTTCTGGGTTCTTTCAAAAACACGCGTTTATGCACAGTAGATCGGAGGCCTTAGAATGGCATAGTAATTGATGATCCGCCATCTCTCTTTTGCCCGAGACTTTTACTTTTATGTTTCCGACTTTGATTTCTACTCGAGTATGATTGATCCTGATCCGTTATGTCTTTGTGAAAGATGGTGAATGGAGTGCGCCTTCATTTATTTGCCTGTAAATGACACACTTTTTCTAACTTGAACTTTTTGATACCTCTCAAAAATAGTATCTGGTTCATTTATCGACTTTTTTAACCATTACCATCCACATTAGACGTAGGCTCTTTATTCGCTTCGAATAAACTACCAATAAATAGTTAATTTGTTGAATGATGTTAATAAAAAAATTTAATATGCTTTGTTAATAATTGTATCTATATACAGTTACAGGTAATTTTAGAATACTCTGTTATTTGATTAGTTAAACAATTTTCATGACAATGATGCTACAAAGTGAAATGTCTTGAAATCAAAGCAAAATTTACCAGTAGAAAGAAACGTGTAAAAGGAAATTTGTTTTCCATAATCCATGAAAGCACCCAAATATGAATCTTTATGCCAAACTCCGATCAGTAACAGTTGAACAGAGTATTCACAAGTTAATATTGGATCTTGCATGTACGACTTTTCCAACTCCACTGTGCAACTGAACGATTTTACCACTATCGCGGATATTGACACATTCGCGGCAAACGGCCGAAATAACGGTTGAATAGTTACGTCGTTCTGATGGCACGCAGTTTAAAAGACGTTTTTGCACGAACGAGTGTAGCAAAAGTAATCGAAGATGAAGATTTTCAGCTTAGCTTTATAAGTTTCAAACACGTAAGGCTGCCCCTTGTCCATTAAAGTAAAAAAAAATTTTAGCTGGTTAATTGTATTATATTTTTGTAAGTTGATTCAATTTATTCTTGAACTCAAACACTCCTTTAAAAAAAAAAAAAAAAAAACTTACAAATAAAGGTCATGATTAGTGATTTTGACATACTCATTATTGTTTATTACTTTTGGTGAAATAAAACCAAATCTACTAAACGACGTCCAGATAGTGATTTCCATGAGTGCAGACTTCTTCGAACCCGTTAACTCCCACCTTATTGTCTAAACGAAAAAAGGCTCCAATGAGCGAAATCCGATCTTGAGTCATTGCATTTTGTACCTGCGATTTGAACGAGTAAAGGGTAAGAAATTTGTCTTTACATTTACATGAACAAACGGATCCTTAATCATCAAATAGGATACACGTATAGCTCATCGGCAAACAAAAACAAACGTATCCCTCGCGAGCTGGACTTACGTTCAAATTACACATCGGCTCGTCCACGTACACGCAGTCGTCCTCAACTTCTGACCCAATTGTGGTGCGTACGCGTTCGCTTTTGATTAAAATTCCCGCTTCCCCGGTCATCCCTGCACCACCGGTGGTACGACCACCCACTATTACACACACGCACACACCCTTTTTCGGACGCACGTACCTATTTGCTTGCGTAGCAGCGAGCCCCCGCTCGTCCACCCAAGGGGGGTATTTATGCATGCACGTACACGGTCGAGGGGGGCGGAGAAGCGCTTCGAAATTGGCAAACCGAAACAAGCAAGGGATCAGGTTGGTATGCAGTTTCGTGGATAAAATTTAAATCGGAGAACGAAGCAACGCGCAAATAAAAATCTCACTTCGGGTTACTGGGACTCTCGTGTATGTGGACCACTCGTACGTTTATACCTCCAAACGGAGAAAAAGCGAGAAGGACGGGAAAGTGGCCAAGAGATCGTAAAAATAAGAACCGGTGCGGGATGAAAAAGAAAAAGCCCAGCTTGCTTTCGAAGATGTAATAAAATGGTCTGTTGATCCCAACACCTCGAAAGCCCTCCTCTCTGTCTCGATGCGTCACTCACACGGGAGAGTATACTTACTTTGTAATTTTTTTTTTTTTTTTTTTCAAACCACGCTCAAAAGTCTTTCAACGACACAAGCATCTGCAAGCACTGAGGCAATAGAAACCAATGATGGTCTCACACTCACCGGTTGGCCGGATTTTACGTAAGTATATACTCATTCCGAAAAATTTGGTCGCTGGATGCACCCACTTGGACCGACTGATTGAGCCCCGAATCGCAGAGCTTGCGTTCCGTTTATGCGTACGTTTTTCGAAACAACGTGAAAGTACTTTTTTGCAATGCCGGCGGAAAAAATTAGTTACGTGAAAACAGGCAATCGTTGAAACATAAAGTGCCCCGTAGAATTGCTACTTGCTTATTGTGCAACGCACTCGAATAAAGCACGCGATATCCCACTGTTCTTTTCATTTATTGACGATCGATAGATTTCGATCGCAACAAGCTAGTAAAAATTCGCAGAGAAGCACTAAAAGAGCCATTATACTTTGTTTGAGACGGAATACACTAATTATCGACTGCTGCTGTGACTAAAACGTGTGCGGTTATCAATACACAATTTTGACGACACTTTCGGTACTTTCTCCTCGCGCTGGACGCGCATGATGCGGTACTTCTTGATGGAAGCATATAGCAACCGTCTCTGCAATGTAAAGGAGATTCCGCCGTTACGCTGAATGATTCCAATGCCTTGACAATTGAAAAATGAAAACCTGTCTGTTGGATTCCGTGTGAAAGGCCCATTAGTTCGGAAACGAGCTTTTCATCCTAATCTACGAAAAAAAAGCGGAGATAAATCACGCTAAGATCCTTTGAAATTAAATTACACGTGCAAACGAAACGAGCACTCCGACCCGTAACCCAGTGGCGTCAGCGATACACGCGCAAGGCCGTACATAATGCCTCTCGCGGCAGTAAAACTGGTGGCTCAAGGAAACGTTACATTACGGGGATTACGCCAAACTCAAGAGCGGCAGTAAACGCCATAATCCAGTATTAATTTATCGCTTGGCTGTAACACCGCGTGGCCCTTTATTTTCGCGCAGGTGCTCGCGTCTTCATTGTTTTCACATTTGTATATACATACATCCTTTCCTTATGCAATCAGAGCAAACTCCGCGAGTCCCAGTTGCCGGGGAAAACCGTCCATAATGTGGCGACTTTCGACTATTGACGGAGTCAAAACGTACAAAACATCAAGCGCGAGGTATTTGGCCAACGTAGGTAGATCCTGCACTTTTTGAAAGTTACACGAGAGTCCGAAAATAATG